AGCTGGACTCTCTATGGCTGGACCCCGACCTGCAGGAGACAACCCCTCAACCCAGATATATTGCTATTTTTCATTAACATTTCTCGCTTATATATTCAGAGATCATCATCTGAAATCAGGAAGCAGATGAGTCCTAGTTTACTCAGCAGCATTTTCTTTCTGTTTCTTCAAACCATCGATCACAATTTAGATACAGCGAAACACGATGCCCCTCCCCTCCTAGAGGGAATCCTTAATCCCCTCCTGTGAAATGGAGAGGTTAGAATGACCTCCATTGACAGAAGAGGCAACTGAGGCTCAGTGAGGGGCATGAATGTCCCCTTTGAGTTCTAGGGGCAGGAGATAGGTTTCACCACGGGTCCCTCTGGACAGGGGATTTAGGGCCAGGCTGGGAGAAATTTTCAGTTCTAGAAGAGTGTCCTCTGTCCTCTTCGCTGGACTAGGCTCCTGTGCGATTCGGGGTATGGGAAACAGAGGCCTCCTGGGAAGGAAATGGGGTCCCTGGCAGCGTCTGCTGAGGCCCAGTTGCTACTTAGGAAAACGTCTGCCTACGGGGGGGGGGGCAGCTGGGTGGGGGCCAAAGTGAGGTTCTGAGAGGAATGGTCAGATGGGCAATCATCAAGACCCACCTCCGGCCGCCCTGTGACGGTTGCTGGAAGCCCTGCTGTGAGCCGACTCCACGTGGAGGTAGGTCATGGCCAGTCCTTAGCTCCCCCAGGCAGCCCCTGGGCGAATCGAGGGGTCAGGACAGCATGGACTGGCTTGGAGTCCTGGCAAGCTTTGAACGTGAGAACTGGACATTTCACAGATGGAAGTGTGTGGCCCAGAGAGGGGAGGGGTGGTTCAAAGGCGCCCAGCAAGGATTGACAGGTCTTATTTTTTCATAATGACAGTGATGGCTCCCCATGGCTGGAGCACCCTCTATGTGCCAGGCCTGTGCTAAGCACTTTACACACAATTCTATGGGGGCCACTATGAGTGCCCCCACTTTACAGATGAAAGAAACGAGGCTCAGAGAGGCTTAGGCAACTCTGCCTAGAGAGCTGCGGGCGAGGGAAGAAGACACGCTCAGGCAGACGGACTGTGGACCCTGGCTCCTTCCACAGCCCGTGGACCTCTTAGGCAGCTTCCCAGGGCACACCTGCCCCTTGTCTGGTATACCTGGGGATCCCTGCCCAGGCGCCACAGAGTCCCCATGAATCATGCCTGCCCTGGGAAGTCGGCACCCTCACTGCCAAGAACGCACTTAGAGTGCACTCCTAAATGCTGGAGGAAGACGAATCCCCTTCCTGGGATGGGTTCTGGGTTTACCCAGCTCTAAGTCAAGGTAGGGGAGGGGAGTGTCCTGACCTTCCGCTTCCTAGCTCTGCTGTGGACAACTTAGGATGCTCTTAGGTGGGGACCACTGGAGAGAAACTGGGCTGTTTGTCCATCGATCTGATGGAAGAGGGAGAAAAGACCTCCATGCCAGCTGGGGATGCCAGCTGGGGAAGGGCGAGGGTGTCTGCATGCCCCAGGTGGGGGAGTGGGAGCTCTCCCTCCCATCAAACAGACGACAAAGTTTGTCGGTCCGGGATGGGGAGGAAGCAGGTTGGCGATCGGTGGAAATTGGGAACAAGCTAGCCTGTTCTGTGGGTCTTCTCCCCGGTGCCTGAAAACGCGAAGGCGGAAGGCGTCCGTCTCATCAGAGGTGAGGAAGGCGGCCTTGGTTTGACACACAGCCATCGGTTTGTCAGAGACCTGGCTGCATTGGTGGCAAGGAAAGGGCACCTTCTTGGGGGGTGGCCACCGCGCCTGCACCCGGGGCCGCAGCTGGCGCGCATCTGTAGCCTGGCCGGGCCCGCACCTCCGCGGCTGGCAGGGTGCGGGCGCCAACTAGCGGCAGCTCCTGCCACCGTGCCTGCCAGGCGGCCGGGCGACCTTGGTCTGCGGACGCAAGGGCCTGCACCCCGCCCCCCAGTACCTTGCATCTGGTGCCCATGGAGAGCCAGCGCTCTACGGAGGGCCGGAGCCGTGCCGGGCCCTGCGCCAGGTGCCAGGGCTCACAAGAGTCCCCTACTCTCTGGGAACCCGTCTGTGAACCCGCCGTAAGGGGAGAGGGAGAAATCAGGCGGAGGGACAAGCAAAGGGCACGGTGCAAACCCAAACCACTCGACAAATGGAATTTACCACCACCTGAAACTGTGGGTCATGGTCCCGCAACCGCTCCAGGGCAGCACGTGTTGCCCGCCCCCAGCCTGGGCCCTACCTGGCCACGACGCGCTGGGCCTTCCCGGAGATGTTCCTGGAGATGGGAACGCCCAGGCTGGATCGCTCGCTTTCCTCTAGTTCTGCTGCTCGTGCCAGCGCGTCCGAGGGCGCGCGGGCCTGGGTCCGCAATCGACAACTGCCAGGCGCAGGCTCTCTTACAAGGTTCAGTAAGGGACCTTTGCCGTTCTTGCTTTCGAAATGGCCTGAGGGCGTGATATGAGGTCTCGAGCGGGGCAGGGGCCAGCTCTTCCGACGGTCGGGATGAGGCCAGAGTCCTTCACCCCTTGAGCGCACGAGGGGCTTGATTTCGTTTGGCGACGACGAAATGGCGCACGCTGGGCAGGGGTCAGATCCGTGATGAGATCTTGCGGCCACCGTCGAATCCTAAGCTTCTTTGCTTCCGAGGCTTGGAATTGACTGTTTTGCACCTGTCGAGAGCCGGAGGCAACGAAAATATAGCCCAGTCTCCAAAGCGGCGGGGAGGCTCAGCACGCGTTCGTTCCCCAGAGTCTAGGGAGGGGTCTGGGGCGATAATTCAGAATGATTGGGGCTTGATCTTTCCCGTTGCCCTCCCAGCTGTAGCCGTCCCCTAGGCCTGCTCGACTGACTTAAGAGGCGGGAGAGGAAGGGGTTGTTTGCAGTGAGAGGTTGCAGTTGTTTGCCCGGGAGAGGTTGGGCCACGCGGCTGGGAGTGGGAGCGGGGACGCGGAGCCAGGAGGGCAGGCAGTGCCTTGGCGAAACTGTCAGCGGTCCCTGCAGCGCAGCCAGAGCGCACGAGCCCAAGAAGTGGGGATTGGATCCGCGGAGGCCACTTCCCACACGCATGGAGAAAGAAAATTCTCTCCTCTGAAAGCCGGGGCCCTTAGCTTTGCAGCCACTGCTCAGTTTTTCTTTTGTCGCCGACGCGCGTAGTGTTTCACGATGCAGGACCGTAGTTACACGCGTAAAGGAAAAAAATCGGGAAAACGCATTTTGCAGGCCTCGTCGTGTTTTTCAAAGAGCCACAGGCCGCCACAACGAAGAACGACGCCGCGAGGCCTGCGAGATCCTGAAACTTGTTTTGAGGGGAGAGTAGAGAGCAAAGGGGTTGTTGGCCCCAGGCTACTTAGGGTCCCTGGGAGACTCCCTTCCGTCTGTCCTCGGTTTGGCACAGGGGCCACCGAGGCTGGGACCAAAGCCGCGCAGGGCTGGGAGCGGCAGAGGCCGCCGGCCGGGCGTGGACGGCGCACAAAAATCCCATGTGGGTTGGAGGCTCTTGGGTCAGAGTAATTTGCGGGAGGAGGGAGGTGAGTAACCTCTTTGGGGCGGCTCCCAGTGCGGTGTCACCGGCCCTGGGCTCCCGCGGCCCCCAGCCCGGGGTTGCAGAAGTCACAGGCCCGAAGCAGCAAGAGCTGGGGAAGCCTGGCCGCGGCCAGCGGGGAGGAGGAGCGAAGGGGTTGCGCCCCAGCGTCAGGGAGATGCGACCCGGGAGAGGGCGACAAGGGCGCCTTCTGTGGGACCCGGACGTTCTAAGCAAATTTCTAGCATCTGCCCCGGGCTCCCAGAGCTCTCGGGGGCCCTGGGCTGTGGCACGGGGGCCTCCTCCGCG